AGGCGCCAAACCGCTGCGCCACCCAGGGATCCCTAGAATTACAATCTAAAGAGATTTTCTCTCAGACTTTAAAAAAATCCATTTACTTGCAGATTATATTTAGAAAAAATCTCTTTTGGGATGAATATAAATGCAGAGTTTCAATCCTAGTAATAGAGAGAATGCCATGTATGCATTAATAACAATTTTAATGTACCTATTAAGCTTTTCATTGTTGTAAAATATACATAAAATTTGTCATAAGTGGCAGTCAGTACCTTCCCATGTTGTGTAATCATCTCTAGTTCCAGAACATTTTTATCACCCTGAAAGGAAACTCCTTACTCATTAAGCAGTCATCCCCCACTCCCTCTTCCTTTCGGATTTTGCCTGGTTCCACAAATTTGCCTATCTTGTATATTTCATATAAATGGAAGATACAATAAGTGGTCTTTCATGTCTGGCTTATTTTACTTAGCATAATGTTTTCAAGGTTCAGTGTTGTCATTTGTATCTGTACTTCTCTTTATGGCTGAAAAATATTATGTTATGTACCACAATTTGTTTATCTATTCATCAGCTGATGGACATTTAGGTTGTTTCTACCTTTTGGCTACTATAAATAATGTTGCTATGAATATTTTTGTGGAAATTTTTGTTTGAACATCTGTTTTCAGGGTTTCTTATTTGGGTATTTCTTATACCCAAGGGTGGAATTGCTTGGTCACATGGCAATTCTATGTTTAATTTATTGAGGAACCACCAAATTGTTTTCCACTATACCTATACCATTTAACCATCCCACAAGCAATGTACAAAAGTTCCAATTTCTAAAAAAAAAAAAAAAAAAAAAAAAGTTCCAAATTCTCCACATTCTCTCCAACACTTATTTTGTTTTAAAAAGTATAGTCACCCTAGTGGATTTTAAATGGTATCAAAGTATGGTTTTGATTGCACTTCCCTAATGAGTACTTATGTTGAGCATCTGTTCATGTGCTTGTTGACCACTTACCTTCATTGGAGAAATGTCTATTCAAGTACTTTGCTCATTTTTAAATGGCTTGTTTAGCTGTTTGTTGTAGAGTGTAGGGGTTTTTTACTTATTTTGGATAGAATCTTACATGATATGCAAATGTTTTCTCATTCTGTGGGCTGTCTTTTCACTTTTTCTTTTATTTTTTTTTGTCTTTTCACTTTCTTGATAGTGTTCTGTGATGCATAGAAGCTTTTAATTTTGATGAAGTCCAATTTATCTATTTTTTGTTGCCTTTTGCTTTTGGTATAAAATACGTGAAACCATTGCCAAATCCAAGGTCATGAAGATTTATGCCTATATTTTCTCTTCAGAGTTTTATGGTTTTATCTCTTATATGTAGATCTTTGATTTATTTTGGGTTAAAATTTATACATTTGTGAATTAAGTGTTCAATTTCATTCTTTTCCACATGAATAATGTTGTTTCAGCACCATTTGGTGAAGAGACTATTCTTTTTTTTTTTTTTTTGAGACTATTCTTTATTGAACAGTCTTGGTACCCTTGTTGAAAATCAGTTGCTCATAGTGTATTGACCATAGTTTATTTCTGGACTTTGTATTTCATAATATTGGTCTATGTATTTATCCTTATACCAGTTTTTAATCACTGTAGCTTTGTAATACATTTTGAAGTCAGGAAATGGGAGTCCTTTAACTTTGTTTTTTTAAAGATTATTTTAGCTCTTTGGGTCACTTGCAGTCTCATATGAATTTTAGGATTAGCTTTTCCATTTCTTTTTCTTTCTTTTTTTTTTTTTTTTTTTTAGCTTTTCCATTTCTGCAAAAAAAGGGCCATTGGATTTTTGATAGGGATTGCACTGAATCTGTAGACTACTTTGGAGACTACTGTCATCTAAACAATAAGTCTTCTAATCCATGAACGTGGGATGTCTTTTCATTTATTTAGATCTTTATCTCAGCAATGCTTTGCACATTTCATTGTGTAAGCCTTGCACTTCCTCAGTTAAATTTATTACCAAGTATTTTATTCTTTGTGATGCTAATATAAATGGGCTTTTTAAAATTTCCTTCTTGGATTTTTCTAAACCAATGTATAGACTCAATAGACATTTGTGTGTTGATCTGGTATCTTGTAACATTACTGAATTTATTAGCTCTCAAGTTTTGTTGTGTGTGTGTGTGAATTCTTTAGAATTTTTAATATATAGGATCATGTCAGCTACAGTCTTACTTCTTCCTAATTGAGATTCCTTTTATTTCTTTTTCTTGCCTAACTGCTCTTGCTAGAACTTCTGGTGCAATGTTGACTAGCAGTGGTTAAGAGGGCATTTTCCTGATCTTAAGGAGATAGTTTTCAATCTTTCACCATTTAGTATGTTGTTAACTGTGGGTTTTTCACGAATGCCTTTCAATAGTTTGAGGAAATTCCATTTCTCCCTAGTTTGTGGAATGTTTTTTTAACATGAAAGGGTGTTGGATTTTGTCAGATTATTTTTCTTATCAATTGTGATGATCATGTTGTTCATATCTCCCTTCATTCTTCTTATAAAAAAGAGCTTTGTTTTCAAGTCATTGTCCTAGTTTCTTCTAGCTGTTGCTTCCTTCATGCTACTGTGATATATTACATTGATTGATTTTCATATGGTGAAACAACCTTGTATTCCTACAATAAATATTACTTTGTCATAGTGTATACTCTTTGTCTGGCTTGGTATCAAAGTAATGCTAGTCTTACTGAATAAATTAGGAAGTGTTCCTCCTATTTTTTTTTGGACGAGTTTAAGAAGAATTGCTGTTAACTTCTCTTTAAATGTTTGGTAGAATTCACTAGTGAATCCACCTGCTGCTGTACCTTCTTTGTTGGGAGATTTTGATTATTGATTCAATCACTTTACTTGTTTTAGGTCTGTTCAGACTTTTTATTTCTTTTTGAGTCAGTTTTGGTATTTTGTGTTTCTAGGAATTTGCCCATTTCATCTAGGTTATCTAATTTTTTTTGACAATAAAGCCTTTTTGATAAGTAAATTTGTTTATGGTTCAGTCTTCCAAAATGTCATGCAATTTATCTAATATTTATAAAATGTGAAGTATAAACACGTTTTCTTACATTTGCCTTTCTAAAGCAAATTGTATGTAAAATTCCATGAGATTCAAACAAAATTTCCCCATGAGGCTAAAGAACCAAAATTTTCTGAGAGGAGTATGACCAGTATAAATTTTACTTCTAAAAAGCATAAACTTTTTTCATTTTCTTTTTGTTAAAATAAATGATTGTTCATTTATTAAAATGAAACTTCTCTTTTTCTACCTATAGAAAGAAATGAGTATGGACTCTCATGCAGAGTGCCTGCATTCAAATTCCTGTCCTACCACTTACTTGCTATTTGTGAGCATAGGGTAACTTCTCTGTGCCTCGGTCTCCTCACCTGTAAGAATGAGAATAATAATAGAACCTACCTCATAAGGCTGTTGTGATGATTAAGTGCATTAATGCGTGCAAAAAACTTAGTTCTTAATTCATAATAAGCATTCAGTATTAACAAATATTATTATTATTTTTTTAAATTTTTTTTTAAATTTTGTTTTATTTATTATAGTCTCACAGAGAGAGAGAGAGAGAGAGAGAGAGAAAGAGACGAGAGAGAGAGAGAGCAGATAGGCAGAGGGAGAAGCAGGCTCCATGCACCAGGAGCCCGATGTGGGATTTGATCCCGGGTCTCCAGGATCGCGCCCTGGGCCAAAGGCAGGCGCCAAACCACTGCGCCACCCAGGGTTCCCCCAACAAATATTATTTTTATAAGGTATCAGTAATTGAGGTTAAAATAAAGAACATCTAGACATAATCATCAATGAAAAAGCAAGTAAAAGGCAGCAATATTGGATGATGGGAACAAAAAGGAATCATATTTTCTTCTAGATTTATAAGACCCCAGACTAGGAGAATGAATGTTTTGGCAAATGTTCTGTCACTAGAAAAGAAATGGTTCTCTTAATTGGTATTCAGGAAAGCAGGTCCTCTTGACTACAGTTGACCTTTGAACAACATGGGTTTGAATGGTATGGGTCCACTTATATGAGGATTTTTTTTGATCAATATAGTACTGTACATGTATTTTTCTCTTCCTTATGATTTTTTATATAACATTTTCTTTTCTGTAGCATTCTTTAAGAATACAGTATATAATACATGCAATATACAAAATGTGTGTTAGCCAACCGTTTGTATTATTGTTAAGGCTTCTTGGTCAATGGTAAGCTATCAGTAGTTAAGTTTTGAGGGAGTCAAAGTTGTATGCAGATTTTTTGCTGTGCAGGGAGTTGGCACCCCTAAACCCTGTGTTGTTCAAGGTCAACTGTACAAAACGGTATTAAAAAGCCTCTCTCTCAGGGTAGAAAAATCAAAGGCACTGTTCATGAATCCCATAAAGGAAAGGAAGGTCCTCAGAGAGGAGAATCAGTTCTTTTAAAATGAGTCTGGCCTCCACCATGGGCCACAGGTAATCAGAAAGTGGATGGTGAGTGTTCAAAGGAATAATCACAACTATAAGTACTTCCTTTCAAATTGCAGGCTTATGCCTCTTAGGAAAGTGATGATGTACTAACACAGTTCTGCTTTTGATTGTTTTGTTTCTTAGATCTTTTGCTCTCTCTTCTCCTAGGTACATAAATATACTCTAAGGCTGATCCCTCCTTGTCATGAATACAATTGAATTTCTATCCATAATATAATGAATAGATAAAACATTAACTAATTGAATTATTTTCACTATCACTATTATTTTCTTTGTGGCCATACCAATAAAATGACCACAAGGTTTGTTTTGGGAATGGAAGTACTCAGTTTCTTGGTTTCCAAGTAAGAAACATTTCAAGAGCATTCAAAATCGGCTCCCTCTGCACCCCCAAAAAGAGCTTGGTTTAATTTTTTAGAGAAAGCAACTAAAATGAGTTTACCTTGATATAAAATGTAAATCACATCAACCACAGCAGTGTATTTTAAAAGATGGGAATTTAGTTTATGCTCATTTTTATAGTAAGACATAAGTTAATGACTTTAATATCTTAAAGGCTTTATCATAAAATGTTACTGCCCAATGAGTTTTTTGCAGACAATAAACAATTCACTGAGAGTATTAACATTCACATGTATAATTGGCGTTTACAAATGTACAAAACTTTGGGTAATAAACACTTTAAACTTATTTTTCAAAATTCAATAAACCCATTCCCCTCAAACTGTTTGATTACAAAGAAGCACAAAAGGTTACTAACAGCAGCAAAATGTGAGAAACAAAGCAAGGGAGGCAAATCCAGACATGAGAACATAAGAATATCTGAAGAGTTTTGTTAATATCAAAAGACAAAATCAAGACATCTTTTATAATATAAAGGAAAACAAATCCATATAATTAAGTATTACTTAGGCAAAAGAACATTATAGGGTATATAACATTTATTTACTCTACATAAATTTGCATATCTTAAATTTAATGCAAAACACCATGTTTCTTTTTTTTTTCTTCCATGTTTCAATTCTAATTTGAGAATATCATAACACGTAGCTCTTAGGAATCCTAAATATAACTGGGTGAATATTTTAAAAGACCTCAAAGATCATTTTGTTTTCAACTGGTCATTATTGTTTTAACTCTCATTTTTCTTCATTCATTAGACTAAGTCAATTTAGAAATAAAATCCACAAAGTGTATATAATGCAGCTATTTCTGAAAAAACTAAATATTAGCATAGTGTTTAGTATGTCATTAAAGTTGTAGTTGCAGTTAAACAACGAATAAAAATTACTGCAACTAATGTATGATAAAGTTACAAAGCAAACATTAAAAGTGTCATCTGGTGTATGTGCACTGTAGTAAAAGAAATCTGGATAACATGAGTAAAATGTGATTGATTATTAATAAATGAAATTCCCAGCTAATACCACATTGCATTTAGGAACAATGCATTTGTCCTCATATGTTACATCAGGAACATATGTTCACAATCCACCAGCTGTAGTTTTGATTTGCTGAGAAATAATTCCTAAGAAATGGAGGATTTAATCCTGGTTCATCCACTTGTTCCTCCCTTGTTTTACCATCTTCACTTTGAGATTGGGCACCCTGTGCCCAGGAATGTGGCATTACAAATTTACTAAAAATGTATCCATTGGTAGTAGAATAATTTTACTAAATTCATAAGGAAGACAATATCTTCATTTAGAAAACAAAGCATTATGTTATAATTTGACAGTTACAACGCAAGCCCCAGCTCTTCCTAGGCACAGTGGAGCAACCTAAAACAAAAACAAAAACAAAAAAGACATATTGGTTGGGTTTATAGGTACAGATGTTGATAAAACCATACCAGTAGGTCAAATGCTGAAAGAGTATGTACTTGTCAAAGAGCTGCTGACACAGCAAAGGATACAGTCCACAAAACTAAAAGACAACCTACAGAATGGGAGAAGATATTTGCAAATGACCTATCAGATAAAGGGCTAGTTTCCAAAATCTATAAAGAACTTATTAAACTCAACACCAAAGAAACAAACAAACCAATCATGAAATGGGCAAAAGACATGAAGAGAAATCTCACAGAGGAAGACATAGACATGGCCAACACACACATGAGAAAATGCTCTGCATCACTTGCCATCAGGGAAATACAAATAAAAACCACAATGAGATACCACCTCACCCCAGTGAGAATGGGAAAATTAACAAGGCAGGAAACCACAGATGTTGGAGAGGATGCGGAGAAAAGGGAACTCTCTTACACTGTTGGTGGGAATGTGAACTGGTGCAGCCACTCTGGAAAACTGTGTGGAGGTTCCTCAAAGAATTAAAAATAGACCTGCCCTATGACCCAGCAATTGCACTGTTAGGGATTTACCCCAAAGATTCAGATGCAATGAAACGCCGGGACACCTGCACCCCGATGTTTCTAGCAGCAATGTCCACAATAACCAAACTGTGGAAGGAGCCTCGGTGTCCATGAAAGATGAATGGATAAAGAAGATGTGGTTTATGTATACAATGGAATATTCCTCAGCCATTAGAAACGACAAATACCCACCATTTGCTTCAACGTGGATGGAACTGGAGGGTATTATGCTGAGTGAAGTAAGTCAATCGGAGAAGGACATACAGTGTATGTTCACATTCATTTGGTGAATATAAATAATAGTGAAAGGGAATCTAAGGGAAGGGAGAAGAAATGTGTGGGAAATATCAGAAAGGGAGACAGAACATAAAGACTCCTAACTCTGGGAAACGAATTAGGGGTGGTGGAAGGGGAGGAGGGCGGGGAGTGGGGGTGAGTGGGTGACGGGCACTGAGGGGGACACTTGACGGGATGAGCACTGGGTGTTATTCTGTATGTTGGTAAATTGAACACCAATAAAAAATTAATTATTTATTTTTTTTAAATTAATTTATTAAAAAAAAAAACAAAACAAAGAGCTGCTGACAAACTGCTCCCCCAGCCTTACTGTGGGCTGGGCCAGGGCCCTTCTTCCAAGCCCCCTGCTGATGTTAAAGTTTCACAGACTAAATTGTTCGGGTATATCACATTATTATGCAGTATTCCCTTTTCTTTAAAGGTAATTGTAAAAGAAAATTGCTCAGGACTTATTCTACCTGAAACACTTTATTTGGCCAAAATGATGCAGGATATGGATAATGAGGAAATGCTGAACACTTTAACTTTGTAACCAATGTGGTGAGAATATCAAGTACTATCTAGAGAGGCCCTGGAACAGATATGCCATCTCAGAACACACCAGATATGCTGCATGCCTGGCTGCTTATTCCAGGGGAACCAGTAATTTCACATTTACTGACTGCCTTCTCTGTGCATGGCTGGAAAGTCTAAACCCATTTTACTATTTTTTAGCACAGTAAATAAATAATAAATACTACTCCAACTCCTTAGGAGTAAAAACAAACTTGGTGAATGAACTCTATAACGATGAGACAGAAGTGCAGGGTGCTAGGGAAAGGAATATAATCTTAGTTTATGGATAAGGAATAATCTTTCACCCATTTTTTTTTTTGAGTACCCTAGATGCTGGAAACTAAAAGTGTGGACAAGGATAGCTTTTAAAGGATTACTTCTTTGAGCACAGTAAGACCCAAGAATTAAAACAATAGTATTTAGGGAAGAAGTGACTAATCCAAAGCACTGAGAAAATTTATTTTGTACTTTTATATGTGGGGGCATGTAATAAAGTGTTTTTGTCAAATAAGGGATATTGAAATGCCTCCCTAATCAGTTTGGCCTCTCTCCCAACCTTTCTAGACCAGCAAATGGATTTTAAGACACACCTGAAGTCAGCTGTCAGAATATACTCAGTTGTTCTCTATCTGAATCAGGTGTTTTGATCACTGTTCTATCTCCTTGAACAATCAAATCACCTACTTTAAAACCGTACCTATTTACAGTATTCCAGGAGTAACCTCTAAGTCATTTCAATCAAAATGTCTGTCTGTAATTAGCAGCTTTTCTTAAAACACTGAAGACCAGTCTTTATACTGTAAAGAGTTGATGTTGCCATGACAACCAGCTAGAAAGTTCAGCTTAGCATATTTACTAAATATAATGCAGTCACCTCTGCATTGGGTCAAGGTAGCAGGGTGGTGATTGCTTTGGACTTTATAATCTCATTCCCTGAACAAACGTCCTCCTGTTCATTTGTTAGAACACTAAATGGAAAACATTCGTTTTCCAGATTCTACAGTTATAAGTTCAAATTTAAGTGCTTACAAATAGTAATAGAGGTGGCATGCAAACAAAATGGTATGTGGTCACAGATCATTAATTTTGATAAGAGCGTGATTCAGCATAAAGCATCTGTTACCTATAATTACAAGTCTCAAAAACAGGCCAAAAGATTTCCTTAAAACTAGGCTAAGAGCATATGTATGTCACATACAGCCTAGGAAAAGAGATTCTTACATCTCTTTTTGGGCTCCTTGGTTATCATTCACATTGCCATGGTGAGAGGCTGATGGTAGAAAATCACATCATTTCTTTTTTTAAATTGATTTATTTATATTAGGGAGGGGGTGCAGAGGGAGAGGAGGACAGAAAATCTCAAGCAGACTTCCTGCTGAGGGCAGAGTCTGATGTTGGGCTCCTTCTCAAGACCCTGAGATCATGACCTGAGCTGAAACCAAGAGTCAGCTACTTAACCTAGTGAGCCACCTGGGTGCCCCAATCACACAATTTCTAATGAAATTCTGTAGCTCTGATTTAAAATCTCAAATGATCTCTTCTGATCCCAGTGACCCCACTTAAACTTAAGAAACAGGATCAAGGGTCACATAAAGTCCCTTTTTCTATCCTCCTCATTTAAAAACACCCTGTCCCTTGTATAAGTAAATACGTGATACACTAATATTCTCATCTTTTCCTCCAGCCTTGGAAGAGATCTTTCCTCCAGCCTGAGGAAAACCAGACTTTGCTCTCAATTTGGTTTCCTGCTTTTCTTTCAGGAAAGAACCCTTCATTGTTGTTCTCTTTTTAGCATATGAAATCTCTACTCTGTTTTCACCTCTATTGTGAAAAAGACCTATGGCCCAAATTTCTAACTTCAACATTGACTTACTGTGTGACTTGGGTCAACTATTTAACCTCTCTGCATCTCAGATTCCTCATCCAATAGAGCCTGGTCCATAAAATGTGTTCAACAGATGTTAACTTTCTATTATCATCATTATTTGAAAATTGTATGCCTCTCTAGCTCATGCATTTACTTATTTTTCTCTTTATTTTTCACCCTATATAGTGGCTTCTTCTAGCACATCCTCAAAGGTTCTTTAACTTCATGAATGGCAACTTAGCTTCATTCATCCTTATACTGTTGAAACCTTGTCTCCTCTCTCTAAATGCTCTATTCCATTATTTTATCTAAGCCACTCTCTGGTCTTTTATTTGCTATTTTCTTCAGAAGTTGAACCTTCAATCCTACCCAGTAAGTGTAGAAAGAATAGATAGGACTTGGTAATATCTCTTGAATCCACCTATAGAGTTGATACTCAAGCCCTGCAAGTGCTTCTTCTAAATGTTTTATTTTTATCCAGTCTTTGCTTCCCCTGCCCCTAACCCAACTTATCCTGTTTCCAACTGCCACGTGAACTTTCTATTAGTGCATCACTCTCCTGGTTAAAAGTCTCTACCGCTTCCCACTATCAAATTCTTGAAGCATGGCCTTCAAAGATTTCCAACCTGACCCCAAACTTGTTCTCCAGTAAGAACTTCTGCTCTTATTAAGCAAGTATCCTTATAACCAGTCATCCTGCTTCAACATATCTTGCATATTTCTGCTTCAGTGACATTTCTTTTGTGTTTTTTCACACAATTTCCCACCTCTTTCTGCCCTTTTGAATTGGATTTTGAGTTCATTAAGGATTAGCTTAAATTCAACTTCTTCTCACTAAAGCACTCTTAATAGCCATTGTATTTTTTTTCTCCTTGATTTCCTACACCACTCAATGCCTATACAATAGCATACTTCCTACCAACTGTTCTACATTGTGGGTTCTCCCCTTACACACGCAGATTATACCTACCTAAGTAGCTAAATTCTGTGGTAGCGGGGATTCTTTTAAGTTTCGCTTTCTTGATAGTACTTACCATTTCTCCTTGTATGTAGGAAAACCTTGGCTGAATTACACATCTGACTGTCTTTCAGGTGCCAGATACCGAATTGGCATGAAAAATTCCTAATTCTTTTCTTGGTAATGATGGAAACAAAGATCTCAAAAGATCATTCTTAGAAGTGCTAAGCCCTCTGGAAATAGACACAGCTGAATGTCTTCTGTTTATAAGCTTACCAGGTCAAGTTTCTTACTTCTTAATGAAATTTAAAGTTGCCATCTTTGTTAGGTGATGACCAGACATTGGTCTGCTCCCATATATCACTGGCTTGAGTATTTCAATAATTATTGCTCATGTATGCATAAGTAATTCACATTTTTCTGATTTCTATCTTTGTTTCTTATTTTCCACAATCTGCCCTCCCTTTGCCATAGTTCTCTTGTGGTCCTATCTACTCTATCTATACTAGAACATCTCATCAATTCCCAGCAAATGGTGGCAGATCAAAACTATTAATAATTCCTCTGAGTAGTAATTTATACTTTAAAGATAATTTTGGATTTTAATTATGTTATAAAATTAAACATTCCTTGTTTCCATATGTTTATCAAGAGATGATTTTATCATGCTTATGTTGATATTGGACAAAATTAAGAGGATCTTTTTACCAAATGAATTGTTTTAATAAAAACAGAGAAGTGTAATAATGAAAAATGAAATACCATACCTGGGTCCACTCATTTGTCTGGGGATCATAAGCCTCCACTGTATTAAGATAAGTTTGTCCATCATAGCCTCCAACGGCATATAATTTATCACCAAGTAAACAGACCCCCACTGCATCTCTGCTGATGCTCATAGATGCCACTGCAGTCCACATATCTGTTTTGGGATCATATCTGAAAGAAAATTTTAGAACTGGAGCTGACATTGTCCTCACAATATTTTTATGTAAAAATAGTTTATGAACGAAAGATTTGCATGTAAGACCTATATCATAAAACTCCTAGAAGAAAACATAGGGGGTAAACTTCTTGACACTGGTCTTGGCAATGATTCTTTGGATTTGACACCAAAAAGTAAATGCAGTAAAAGTAAAAATAAACAAATGGACGTCAAACTAAAAATCTTCTGCACAGTAAAGGAAATCATCAACAAAATGAAATGGCAACCTATGGAATGGGAAAAAACATTCTCGAATCCTGTATTTGATAAGGGGTTAATATCTAGAAGATATAAAGAATTATACAATTCAATGACCCCCTCCAAACTCTCATATAAACCAATTAAAAACTGGGCAGAGGGTCTCAATAGACGTTTTTCCAAAGATAGCCAATAAGTACATGAAAAGGTGCTTAACATCACTAATCATCAAGAAAATGTAAATCAAAACCACAATGGCTGTTACCAGAAAGATAGTAAGTGTTGGTGAAGATGTGAGAAAAGGGAACCCTCATGTACCCTCTGCCCTTCCCTCCAGCTCGTGCTCATTTTCCTCTTTCAAATAAATAAATAAAATCTTAAAAAAAAAAACAGTATGGAGATTCCTGAAAAAATTAAAAATAGAAATACTATATGATCCAGTAATTCTATTTCTGGGTATTTATATAAAGAAAATGAAAATGAAAACACTAATTTGAAAAGATATACTTACCCCCATTTTCACTGTAGCATTATTTACAGTAGCCAAGACATGGAAACCTAAGTGTTCATCAATGGCTGAATGGGTAAAGAAAATGTGGTACATATAGAACACACACACACACACACACACACACACACACACACACACAACCAGAATATTATTTGCCCATAAAAACGAATGATATCTTGCCACTTCAACAACATGGATGGATCTTGAGGGTATTATACTAAGCGAAATAAGCCAAAGAAAACAAATACCTATGATCTCACTTATATGTGGATTCTAAGACAAAAAAAACCTAAGCTCATAGATTGGTGGTTGCCAGAGGTGGGGTGAAATGGGGGATGGGCGTCAAAAGGGACAAATTTCTAGTTATAAAATACATTAGTTATGGGGATGTAATGTATAACATTGTGATATAGTTAATAATACTGTACTGTATATTTGAAAGTTGCTAAGAAAGTAGAACTTAAAAGTTCTCATCACACACAAAAATTGTAACTATATATGGTGATGGATGTTAACTAGACTTACTGTACTCATTTTTCAATATATACAAATGTCAAATCATTGTTATACACTTAGATGAATATAATGTTATATGTCAATTACACCTCAATAAAAGAATGCCTACATATTCAGAAACACCTGGGAGAGGCAGTATGCAAAGTGGTTAGAGAATGGGTTTAGATGTGAGCTGAAGAATCTCGAGTCCTTATTCTTCCAATTACTCTGTGGTATTGGAAAGTTACTTAAAATTGTTACATCTTAATTTCTTTATTGGTGAAAATACTACTCACCACCTAGCAAATGCACAGTAAGCACTCAATAAATGTCATCTTAAAGATGGGTTCATTTATTACAATTTTTTCCTATTGGCATAGAATGTGTTCCTTTAACAAAAGTTCAAAGATCACAAAAATATATAAAAAATGCAATAGCTAGCCTCATTTCCTTCCAACTTTAATTACAGAGTCAAGTGGTAACCACTATTAACAATTTGGTTTGTATTTGATCTTCTAAATATTTCACTTTTTATTCTCAGGGCTTGAGAGGCTATTTCAGGACATGTTTTTTTTTTTTTTTAATTCAACTTATGTTTTCTTTCCATGTAAACATTAATATTTTTTTCTTTCAGCAAATACAAATAGTTTCATTCTTTAAGCCTACCTTTTATCTTATTACTGCTATCTAAAGTACATTTGAATGTATTTTAGAAGAAATATCAATATTTTCCTGCACACTTTTAACTTACAATATTAATAGATTCACTTAATAAATCCATAACACTTAATGTATTCAAAAGAGCTAAAGTAAATATTGAAAACTGCTTTAAGATTTTCGATTGCCTACTGAAAATCTGAGGAAATCAATACGTGAAACTTATGTAAGATGGCTCACAGACACAATCATTACAGCTGTCCACTTTTGAATTTTGTTCCTCTCATGAAATATATTAACTAGAACAGCCCAAAATTGTCTATCTACGAGCAGATACTTCATGCTAAAGTGACCTATATTGCTTCTAATAGTTCTTGTACAATGAACAATTTTTCATTGGGTGTAGTACTGCAGTGGACCTGTAATTTACAGGATAAAGTATACAAAGACATTCATATTCCTTTCCTGGAATATAACATGCAGCAAGTATAGTCTGGATTACTTTCTCCCTAACACAGATAAAATGCTGATATAACTTTCCAGCTTTTTCAAAAGACAACAAACTAACCCTGTTTATAATTTTGCAGAAAGCACTCATTGTCATCAAACTTAGATTTCACTTTTTACCTCTCTTCCAATCATGTATAATTAAACAACACGCACACACACGTGAACGCTTAGTAACTTTCCATTGCTCTTTAAAATCCAGAATCCGGGATCCCTGGGTGGCGCAGCGGTTTGGCGCCTGCCTTTGGCCCAGGGCGCGATCCTGGAGACCCGGGATCGAATCCCACATCGGGCTCCCGATGCACGGAGCCTGCTTCTCCCTCTGCCTGTGTCTCTGCCTCTCTCTCTCTCTCTCTCTCTCTCTCTCTGTGTGTGACTATCATAAATAAAATAAATAAATAAATAAATAAATAAATAAATAAAAATATTAAAAAAAAATCCAGAATCCTTAAGACTCTCCATGATTTGTCCCCATCTCTACTCTAGTCTGTCTCCTTTCCTGCCACTGTTTCCCTCACTCTGTTCTCTAGACACACTGGCCACACTGGCTGCCTTTCGGTTTTCTGAATGAACCATTTCCTTCCTGCTTTGGAGGGTTTGTACATGCTCTCATTGACTCTACATCCTAACTCCATTCAATTTCTCCATTCTTTGAACTGGACTAAAGATAACAGATGGGAGCCCGAACTATTATCCAAATTATCCATTGATGTTAGGCTCTTTACCTGGCCCCGACTTGAGTTTCAGGAAGCCAGTTTGGATGACTTGTATAACCTTTTAAGCCATATTAGTTTTTTATTTTATTTTAGTATTTCATAGTATTTCGTTTTATCAAAACATGTTAGAAATGTTCTTCTCCTTTTCACTTCTTATTTAGCCTCCAGCACCTATGCCTTCTCTCTGAAATTCATCAAGCTCCTTTCCTTTTCTTGTCAGGTACAGTATCCAGTATAAAATATGTACACAACAAATATTTGTCATATGACTCAACTAATAAATTATATAATCAATTATAAGGTAATAGTCTAGGCAGTATTATGACAGAGAATCTGAGTAGACTGTTAGGAGATAGACCAAGAAATGGCCAGAGCAGACAACCCAGTATTTACCAAGCTGTGAAAGAAATGCCTTGCATGTGGTAGATGTTCATTAAGAAGTCATTAATCTGTCTGGAAGTGTCAGGCAAAGTTTCCCTTCACAGGAAATTACCTCTCCACACAGTCTGAGAGTCTGGAAGTCAAGTTGGATGCAGGAGCATCGTGTCCTCCAATAGCATACAGCAATCCATTCCAGGTAGTTACTCCTACTCCCCCTCTCCTTTTGGACATTTGTGCACAGAGTGTCCATTTATTAGTATGAGGATCAAAACATTCTACTGATTTGAGGCAAGAACTTCCATCACGACCACCAACTGCATAAAGTCTATAAGAATAAATAAGATAATAAATAAAAAGTGCCATTATTATGATTAAGGCAGAGATTATTCTCAGAGTATTTCATCGAATTCGAGGTGCCACAGATTATAAAACACACTATCAATTTACGTGCCATCAAGACAGAATATATGCTACCAAAGTTATATGACATATGTATATGTCTATATATACATCATATGTATATGTCATATGTATATATCATATACATATCACTCTTATCTTATCACTCTGTCTATACATAAAAGAGAACAAACTCACATGAAAGCAATGACAACTATTTCTGACAAGTCACCACTGATTAAAAACATGCATCACAATTTTAGAGGTATAAAATGTGTCTTGGAATAGAGAAAATGTGGTATCTAAATATACCATGACTTATTTCTTAAATAACTAAAATAGGACTAGGTTACAAAGGAAAGAAACTAGCCTTCCCTGCACATACCATAGGCTAGACATTTTACCTGTATTAATTTAATCACCTCAATGATGCTATGAGAAGTGATTTATATTCCTGTTTCATGGGTGAAGAAACAGGCTCGTGGAGATTAAGAGGCTTATACAGGGTCAGAAGCAGAACCAGGACGCAGTTAGAGTAATGAGCAGTTGTACTGTGAGCAGTCACCTGAGATGTTCTTGCAGTAGTGAAATATGAGAATAAAAGAATTGCTTGAAACAGTGGTATATAAATTAATATTTATTACAACTGAATAGTGATTCTTCATTAATTTAAATTACTGCAGAGAAGGATACTGTAAGTTATCTAAAATGAATACAGCATGTTAATGTCCTAAGTGTTGCCTAGTAGATAAATTTTAATTCATTACTAATCAATATACTGCATTAAGTCTTTTATTCAACTTGAAATATATAAAATACTATATTTTTCTAATAGTTTTTTCAAAAGTAATAAATTCAGATCATTGCTTATTTAAAAGTCCTCACATTCTGAACTTACATATACCTTAATTAATATTTAACTATATTTTTTACCTTAAGAAATAAAATTTGAACTATACCAAATGTCTGCCAATTAAAACTCTCAGTATTTACATTTACATATATATATATATATATGGTATCTTTAAGACATTTGTTAATTTTAATTCATAACGTAAAGTATACTATGCTACTTAAATTGGTTCTTAAGTGAGAAGATGACCATATCTTAGACAGCAACATATGGCTGTAGCAATATCTTATTCTAAACGTTGTATTAGGGGATCCCTGGGTGGGCGCAGCGGTTTGGCGCCTGCCTTTGGCCCAGGGTGCGATCCTGGAGACCCAGGATCGAATCTCACTCAGGCTCCCGGTGCATGGAGCCTGCTTCTCCCTCTGCCTGTGTCTCTGCCTCTCTCTCTCTCTCTGTGTGACTATCATAAATTAAAAAAAAATTTAAAAAAAATAAATGTATTAATAGTATGGAAATTGAAATTTATTTGCAACTTTGTTAAAATTATTTATCCATCAAAAACTACTTTCTTGTGTTAACTAACACTTGGTAGATTAATTGTCTGAATATGGATCACAGAATTTCAGAAGACATCAGCAATTAGAAAATATAACTAAAAAACCATGTACGCACATGTGCACACACACACACTAGGATTCAAGGCACCACCTCCTCTTCACAGTGAACACATGGGTCTTGACTGTGTAAAGTGGTGTATTACAGGGGTTCAGGGGTGGAGCCACAGTCTCAGGATTTGAATTTTGGTTCTCACACTTACTAATCCTGACTGTGGACAAGTTATTTAATCTCCGCCCGCCTGAATTTTATCATCCAAAACATCTAAGCTCTGCTTCATAGGATTATTGATGACCAAATTTAAAATAGTCTGAACAGTGCCTTCTACATGGTAAACATGGTGTTAAATGTTTAAGAGAAAAAAATGAATTCTGTCTCTGTATTCTTTTAGAAAATGGCATTTTTAGATCTTAAAGTTGTACAAACAACATGTATATTGAGCTAATGTTAAGGGGTAAAATGTATCAATAACATTTTCTAAAGAAATACTATCTCAAGTAATGGTTTTCAAATTTCTTTTTTTTTCTTAAGAACTTATTTATTTGACAGAGAAAGAGCACAAGCAGGGGGAGTGGTAGGCAGAGAGAGAGGAGGAAGCAGGCTCTCCACTGAGCAGGGAGCCTGACAGATGTGGGGCTTGATCCCAGGACCTTGGAATCATGACTTGAGATGATGGCAGATGCTTAACCCACTGAGCCACCCAGGCATCCCTCAAATTGTTTTCTAAGAATAGGATTCTGTGGATTATTTGAGGAGGTCCCAAAAATGGTGTATTTGAAATTCAAGTTGGGAGGGGTTAGAGAGAGAAAGTGCATGTTATACTCACACGTAAGTGAGGGGGGAGTGGCAGAGGGAGATGGGAGAGAGAGAATCTCAAGCAGGCTCCACACTCAACCCAGGGTCCATTATGGGGCTCGATCCCATGCCCCTGAGATCACAACGTGAGTGGAAATCAAGAGTCCAATGTCTAAATGACTAAGCTACCCAGGTGCCTCTGAAATTCAAGTTTTAATATTTTTCAAAATAATTTTCACCTAGCTCAATTAAATGCCATGCAAGATTCAGAACTCATCTTTTTTCTCCATGACAGTATCTATTACAGTAAAAAGAGAAATATTATGTCAAATTGGAAATTGCATCAAATTGTATTGTACGATGTGCTTTAAAATAAGATTTAGTCTTGCCTGACTTAAAATTATGATCAAGGATGCAGGCGTTGGTGATATTGAGATTTAACTTAGAAAAAAATTTCTACTACTTTCAAACTACCTCAACAATTTAACTGAAAAGTTTCCCAAGATTCCAATTAAATTGCTCTAGTAGTTAAAGCAACTGTTCTCATTTCCAGCTACTTAGCTGTGAATCAGGATTTTCTTTATACTGAACAAGAAAAACAAGACATAGAAATAATACGGATGTTCTTTAAAACAGATGTGTTCTTCTACATTGATTTTTATAATAAATCCATGCTACAAACTTGAACTTACAATGAATTTAAGATAGGTTCAGAATAAACTTGAATATTCCATTTGCATTAAGTATTGAGGTTTTTGCAAGGTTTCATTTGAAAGAAAGATTCTACTGCCAAAAATGTTTGCCAACAAGTGGCTTAAAAGTAGCCTGAGCAACTGGAATTCTAAATAAAGCTTTTTCTCTCAAGCATGGTAGAAAGAAAATTTTAACTCTTTGAAAATTTCAAGATACAAGATGTAACTTATAAAACATTCAAACAGTTCCTCCCTAAAGAAACAATTATATTTTGCATCAGGAAGTATTGTAAAATAAGTTAAAATAACAAAAACAGTAGTTAATCTAGGCTTTATCGTTCTGTAGATTAAAAAAATTGAGGCACAGGGAAATGATTTGTTCTAAATCATAAAGGAGTAGTAAAGAGGCATAATTTTTTTTCAATCAGCTGCATATTGTTATAGAAAACAACATGATCTCTATTTTTCCAGATTCTGGATATGTACCTAAAAATGGAAACCAACAAAATATTTTAAAATATTGCTGCTTTGTTTTAAACCAAGTTTAGAAAAATGCTAGTTGATAGATTAACACATCCTCTTCTTGCGGGCGATTAAAATACCATTGCATCTAAGTGGTACCATAACATTCTTCAATAAGATTACACACTTCAGGTTATGCTCCAGGTACCATGCTAGGTATAAGGAACAAAAAGTCAGACCAGATTATTCAAGACCATAATCTACTATAGGAGATGGATGAGTAAATAACAACAACAATAGAGTGCTTCATGCTCTAATACAATCATACACAAATTATGCACAGTAAAGATGCCGAGAATGAATGGACAGTTAGAAGGTGGGGGGCGAGGGAGGGAGGGAAAGGCGGCTAGGAGATGGGAATGGAAATGGGAAAGTTTTCCAGAGATGACTTTTGAGTAAGTTTCAAGGATGCTGAATTTGCCAGGTTCAAAACTGGGGAAAAGATACTCTAAGACAGATGGAATGGGTTAAAAGATAATGGTAGTGTGAAACAAAATATATTTTTCACAAATAGGTTAGTTCTGCTGGAGTGTAATATGCATGGGTAGAGAGGAATGGACAGAAGTGGACAGAAGCAAGACCATAAAGGAGCCTTGGTCACATAAGCTACTGAAACCTTTTAAGCAGGAAAATGACGTGGTCCTATTTGTATTTTAGGTAGAGTATTAGGTTAAGTCTTTAAAGGATGAAAGTGAGAGAGTTAAGACTTGGGGCAAAGTGACCAAAGGACACCATCCCCTCACTCTAGGAGTTTTAACTGAAGGGTCAAGGCTGAAATGACACTGCTAGTTTTCTCTCTTTTTTCAGATTAATGAGCCTCTTTGGTGGCTGACTGCTACCAAAGAATGAGGAAAGATACCTAGTGATAAATTCTGAAGTTCTTTCTTTAGCTAAAACAAAGGAAGGGAGGGGGTGTGGAGATCAGATTATTTTATTTTATTTATTTTATGATTTTATTTATTTATTCATGAGAAACACATACAGAGAGAGGCAGAGACACAGGCAGAGGGAAAAGCAGGCTCCATGCAGGGAGTCTGATGCGGAACTTGATCCCAGGTCTCCAGGATCAGGCCCTGGTCTGAAAGCGGCGCTAAGCCGCTGAGCCATGCGGGCTGCCCAATCAGGTCCATTTTAAAAAGTGGGTTTCTATTTCTCTAGCTCATCTCTTGTGATAGTGCTAAAAATGAATATAAATAAAATCTAAAAAGTGGAACATAATAGATCCCCAGGAACCAAAGCCTTTGGTCATAAAATATAAAAATTCTAATATTTTCTCATTTTTCTTTTACCAATCAATCAATAACACATTTCTATATCTAGTTTTAGGTCCCTTTCTGGAAATGAAAATAAAGCAGTTAAGTGAGGAAAGGTATGCAACAAACAGCTTTTATATAATAACCCTGTAGGGTTTCATTTAATGGAAGAAGGGCCTTTCATATGTAGTTAGTCCCTGACTTACCAAGAGCTGTATTGGTAATGGCTCTGTCCACATCTGTTAACTCCAGTTAGAGGAGCCAAGAGCCAAGAGAGCACCTTTCTAAATCTATTTCAGTTTTCAGAAGTTTACCACGATAAGAAAGGAGAAGTAAAGGTAAGTCAGTAGAAGAGAGGGAAGGAATTATTTAGGAGAACACTGAGAGGGCCAATACTACATTTAAAACACTTTATGCGGGGATCCCTCAGTGGCTCAGCGGTTTGGCACCTGCCTTCGGCCTAGGGCGTGGTCCTGGAATCCCGGGATCGAGTCCCACATCGGGCTCCCTGCATGGAGCCTGCTTCTTCCTGCTTCTCTACCTGTTTCTCTGCCTCTCTCTCTGTGTCTCTCATGAATAAACAAAATCTTAAAAAAAAACAACACTATATGCCTTTTTCCTTAAAATTTTTTAAATTTAAATTCAATTAATTAACACAGAATGTATTATTGGTTTTATTGGTATTATTATATATTATATAATATGTTATATAAAATATGTTATATGTTATATAATATATAGTAAGTATATATTATAAAATAATATAATGTATTATTGGTTTCAGAGGTAGAGATCAGTGATCCATCACTTGTAGATAACACCCCATGCTCATCACATCATGTGCCCTCCTTACTGCCCATCACCCACTTAACCCCATCCCCTCCAGCAACCCTCAGTTTGTTTTCTACAGTTAAGAGTCTCTATGGTTTGTCTCCCTCTCTGATTTCATTTTAAAACACTATATACTTTCACAGCTATATAAACTACTGGATTTTTACTAAGTTGAATATGTATATAAAACTTCTTCACTCAAAATAACTTGAAATTTATAATATCTGCACATTAGAATAAAAACCTAACATGACTGAGTTATTTAAATTTAGTACTATGATAAAAAGAGACTATTTTAAAAGTTTGCATCACTCCAAGTTTCTTTTTGTGATTTATTTATGCATTTTAATGTATATTTTTAAGTTAGAGCTCAATAAATTTGGTTTACTGTGTTTTAAATGGAATTTTAAATATTTCCTTACTTTCCACTTAGAACTGCTACACCTACTGTGCTTCTGGGGGTAGACATAGTGGCAACAAAATTCCACTGGCGAGCCTGAGGGTCCCATCTTTCCACTGTATTCAGGTAGCTCCAGCCATCGTGTCCGCCTACTGCATACATGGGACCTTCCAATACAGCCACACCTACAAGGTGACAGGAAAGAAGCAAGGCCTTGAAATTTGCTGCCAAGTCTTAAAAATCACATTTTAATTGAAATATACAGTTTACCACTTAGTGTTTTCATCTGAGATTTATGGTTCCAAGTCTTATGGTCAAGTCTTTAATCCATCTTGAGTTTATATTTGTGTTTGCTGTAAGATAATGTCCCACTTTCATTCTTTTGCACTTGACTATCCAGTTTTCCCAGTACCATTTATTGAAGACTGTCCTTTCCCCATTGCTTATTCTTGGCTCCTTTGTTCTAAGCTAGTTGCCCACATAGGCATGGTGGTTATTTCTGGACTCTATTCTGTTCCATTGATCTATGTGTCTGGTTTTAAGCCAACTATCATAATGTCTTAATTCCTACAGCTTTGTAGTATAGTTTGAAATCAGGGAGTTTGGTGCCTCTAAACTTTGTCCTTCTTTCTCAAATTTACTTTACTATTGTTTTTTTCATTTTTTTTTTGTGGCTTTGTACAAATTTTAGGATTATTTGTTCTATGTCTTTGAAAAATGTCATTGGAATTTTGATAGGGATTGCACTGAATTGGTAAATTGCTTTGGGTAGCACAATGAACCTTAAACATGCTAATTTAATTAAGGAAACATTTACGGTAAAGATAACTGGGTTTCCAGGGGATCCCTGGGTGGCTCAGTAGTTAAGCGCCTGCCTTTGGCCCAGGGCCTGATCCTGGAGTCCCAGGATCGAGTCCCACATCAGGCTCCCTGCATGGAGCCTGCTTCTCCCTCTGCCTGTGTCTCTGCCTCTCTTTCTCTCTCTCATGAATAAATAAATAAAATCTTAAAAAAAAAAAGGTAACTGGTTCCCTTATAGCTCTTCCTGGTTAGTAGGTGGATAGGTGAGAGGGGGGAAGCAGCACTATAGCTCTGCTCTATAAGTTTTAGAGGCAGGATCTTGAGTTTCAACAGTGGAAAGTTACTTAAAACTACACAAGATGCACACACTGCCATATTTAAAAGATTTTTCAATAATTCAGATTTAAGATATATTTGAAAAATCACTTTTATTCCTTTCCCCCTATTTATTCAAATTTGTGAGATTTTATAGTAGTTAAATTTGATACCACAATCTATTGGTATGATTCATCACCAGGGAATCAAGCCAGATTCATTTGTTCCCTTATTCAACTAATATCTGTTTAGTTTTTATTAAGTACTTAATAGAAGATAACAGAAAGGGCCCTGCCATCATAACTATTCTAGTTAGTAAACAAGCAAAATATATTTCAGGTATTCATCAAGGCTAACAAGAAAAATGGAATGGAGGAAAAGGGTAGAGAGGGTTAGGGGACACCTCTTGGGTAAAGAGACATTGGAACAGAAACATGAATAAAGTTAAGAAATCAGACATAGAGATATCAGAGAAGAGGTGAGGTAAAGGGAACAGTATATATAAACTACACACACACACACAATCCAAGTATATATAAATATACCCAATTATATGTGTATATGTATGTGTCTATAATTAATTAAAGAGCTGGAAGAAAAATTAATGAGTCCATCTAGTTCAACTCCTCAAACAATATTTTTGAAAATAAATTTTAGCAGAACTACTTCAAGATGAAATCTTTAATTCTCACATGTAAAAGAGATAAAAGGAGTGTTTCCTATATAAAAGTTTCTAAGTTCAAATTATAACACTGATTTATTATAAGGTAAATTAGTAAAAAACGAGAATGACAGAAAGAGGGCAGCCCCGGTGGCTCAGCGGTTTAGCACCACCTTCAGTCCAGGATGTGATCCTGGAGACCTGGGATTGAGTCCCATGGCGGGCTCCCTGCATGGAGCCTGCTTCTCCCTCTGCCTCTCTCTCTCTCTCTCTGTCTCTCATGAATAAATAAATAAAATCTTAAAAAAAAAAAGAATGACAGAAAGATTTGGGAAAAAGCTTAAAGAAGACATTTGAACTATATGATTATTCTCCTTTGAACTTGCTTCAATAAAACAGTTTGTATGGTACTTAGAATTAATGATAATACTCTATGCACAATCTAATCTGCACAAAACATAGCAGGATCATGGGCATTCTCATTCTCTGTACTAGAAGAATTTGCCTTAAGTTAAAATTAAATTTCTTTTCTCTATAGTGGGGGAAGTATGCAGGTGCATCACATTATTGACCTTGGATTTTATGGTCAACTCAAGTTTCATTCATGCTGCTTTTAAGCTACATTCCCATTTTGTGCCTATGTAAGAGGTTGATTTTATGAACTCAAGATTAATATTTTATCATTTTGTTAAATTTAATATAGTTAATTTTACACTCTCCTCTCAGTACTTTACCCCAACCCTCTGGTTTTACTTTATTAGCGAACTTGAAACTTGATCACCTTGAACTGAAAACTAATTGCAAATAGTAGAATTACTTGTTTCTTTGATTTTTTTTGCTATACCCATGATCAGAAAATTGTAATGCCTAGATAATTTTCATTACTGACTATTGGCTTTTTTTTGGCAGCCTCTAGTCTGGTGCTCGACATTAATAAATTGAATGTAGTACAAAGCTACGCTATCTGAGCTAGAACTTCATTGCTACCTCGTCCATCTTTTAATTCGTCTTTTTGATGATTTATCAAATTTTTTATTGTAACTAATTTAAACCTTTTTCAGACTGTGATACACTGACAATATGACCATAAATTCTTCCTATTACTGAATGCATACCTATTTTCATGGTGACTCTACAGCTCGTCCCACCAAGAAGAGTAGTGTCCATTAATAGATGAATGGATAAGAAAGATGTATCTTTCTCACACACACACACACACACACACACACACACACAGAGGAATATCACACTGGAATATTATAAAATGATGAGATCATGCCATTTAAGACAACATGAATGGACCTGGGGGTATTATGCTAAGTGAAACAAGTCAGACTGAGAAAGACAAATACCATATGATTCTACTCATAAATGGAATCTAAGAAATGAATAAAGAAAGGACAGAATCAGAACTATGAATATAGAAACAAATTGATGATTGAAGGAGGGGAGGGAGATGGAAGGCTGGGCAAAACAGGTGGAGAGGGAGACATAGGCTTCCAGTTATGAAATGAGTAGGTCACAGAATTAAAAGAGCAAAAGGAATACAGTCAATGATAATGATACAGGGATGTGTAATGGGACAGATGGTAGCTATACCTGTGGTGAACACAGAATAACGTATAAACTTATCAAATCACTTAGTTGTATACCTGAAACCAATGTAACATTGTGTATCAACTAGCCTCAAATAAATATGATTATAAATAAAAATAAAAATATATATACATATATATATATACTATTATATATAGTATATACTATTATATATATATATATATATATATATATATATATAGTCTTTTTCTCTAGTCTTTGAATCTGGGCTTGCCCATGTGACTTGTTTTGGCCAGGGCAACATTAGCAAACATGATGCAAGCAGAAGTTTGAAAAGTTTGTGCACTGTGGCTTGCCTTATGCTGCTTTTGAAACCTTGTGACTGCTACCATGTGAAGAAGCCAGGCTAACCTGCTGAATGATTAGAGGCATGTGGCCCAGGTGTCTCGGTTGCCCAGGCCAACAACCTGCCTACCACTACACATGTGAATGAGGCCATTCTAGATCACCTAACTGACCTGCCAGTCCACCGGAGATCCATGAGAAAACCCAGCAGAAATACTCCAAGGTAGCCTAAACCAGAAGAATGGCTCAGCTGACCCACAGATCCATGAGCTAAATATATCGTTGTTGTTTTAAACCTCTATTTTGCTATGTAATGCAGGAAAAGTTGGGTGATACAGATACATGTCAAGCCCCATCAAATTTTATTCCCATCTGTTCACTCTCATCAAACAGTTCTATTTCACCTATTCTTTCTCCTTTCAAAAAAAAAAAATAGATCATGTACTACAAGATCCTAAATTATCTTCTGTCATCTCAGAGTGAGCCATCAGTTCCTTTAGAGTAAAGACAGTGTCTTCGTCATCTTTGTATACCTACTGAGCAAAGAGCATGGCACATAGTACATGCTAATCAATGTCAGTTCAGTGAAATGCTGAATGAAAGAACAAAAAGTCTCTATCATATTCTCTGTGCCACCTCATGATTTCTCTGGGTTTTTACTCATTTCTGCTGAAAAACCAAGGATATAGATGGGAACAATAATGCTAAAGATTTTAAATCACCATTTCACTCAGTTTAGATTAATACTGATTGTCAAAACAAAGCACATATTTAAAAAGGTGGCCTATCACTCCATCATGTTACAATTAAATCCTTAAATATCCATGTTTTTACTTGTGCTGGATGCTGTTACATTTTTGTATATTCTTGTCTTCTCTGATGCTGTTTCTCAGTTCAGGAGCACATAAAGGAATGCTTCGTGACTAACTGTTGCTCACAATGGTCTACTTCTGCCTGGTATGGAATGGAAAAATGTAATGGATGCCTAATATATGATATCATGAATGAACCTGCATAATTATACTCACCAAGGCCATGCCTATGGGTGGACATAGGAGGCATCACACTCCAGGTTTTTGTTTTGGGGTTGTAGCATTCTACAGTGTTCAAAGTCTTCAGTCCATCTCTTCCTCCAACCACATACAGTTTGTCATCTAACACTGCAACACCAAACTGTAGCCTCCTCCCATTCATATTTGCTACAGGAGTCCACATATTTGTACGAAGATCATACTTTTCAATGCTTGTTGCTCCTTTAACAGTAATATATGGAAATTATGGAAATAAAAATCTCACCATGTTTGAGTATTTTATGAATTCATACATATAAAACAAATCATGATTTTCTAGCATTGACAATAATAATTTTATTGTATTTCAGTGAGCTTCTGCATGGTCAGGATTCTGCTTATATCTCTGACCCCACCTCCTCCTATTCTCTAGGCCATACACAAGGCTCTGTATTAAAAGGTCAAGTAAGAAAGGATTATTTGTAACAGCTAGAAGTTGGGGGAAAAGGAAGGTAGATTAGTGTCATGGAAGCCAACGTAAAAAAAAAAATGTAGCAGATAGTTTTGAAGGAAGATGGAGGCAGAGTAAGAGGACCCTAGGCTCCCCAACTCCCACAAATACAACTAGATAAACAGCAAATCCTAAATAGGAAAGAATCTGAAGACTGACAGAAGAAACTCCACAACTAAAGGTAGGGAAGAGGCTACAATGAAGATGGCAGGACGTGTGGAGGCACGGCTTGGGAGAGAAATGGATTGTGGTTAATGCAGTGAGGAGGGAGCCATGGTCTCAGATAAGGGTAGGAGGCAAACTAGCACACAGGGGGTACATGGGAAAATAAATCCCCTTGGCAATTGGCTTGGCAAGTGAGAGGGCCTGAATTTCATGAGGTCTTGCAACCAGTGGGGCTTAAAGTCTGGAGTTTTAACAGTTAGCATGCTTGGCTCTGAGAGAGGTTGGAGGACACTAGGGCTGCCCCTGAAGAAGAGGCAAGGGAAACAGAATGCAGACGTACAGCATGGAAACAGCGATCTGAAGAGCACCTGGGGCACACAGTGAGCATGTCCCAGAGAGGCAGCATTCATGGAGGCCTCTCCAGGAACAAAGGAATTGGTAGATGCCATGTCCTTCCTCTTGCTCCTCAGCAGAAGCATGGGGCTACCTACAGGAACCAGTGCAGTGCCAACACTTACCACCTACCTTATTTACATCAAGTTCTGTTCCCCCAAACTCCAGCAGAACTGCCCTTCCCAGTCACACTTGCCTCAGTGCCAGCACAGCAGGCCCCTTCCTCAGAAGACTAGCCCAAACCCCTGCCAACCAAGGAGTTTTGTGAGGCCTCAGTTCCAGTGGTGGTGGTGATAGGTCTCATTTCACAAGCAGACCAGAGCATGCCTAGTTCAAATGCACAACACTCAGGCCAGGCACCAAATGCTGCCTGTAACAAGCAAAGACAGCCTCTGCAGACAACTGGTCTGAAGGATAAAGTGACCAGGCCACAATAGCAGAGTACACACAGCACACTGGAGACACTCCCAGAAGCACCAGGCCCTGGAAACTATTCTGCCGGGCACTATAAGATCTTTTATTCAGGAGATGCAGCTGACTTTTCTAACATAGAGAAATAGGCACGGAGACTTAGACAAAATAAGACAGGAACTGGATCCAAATGAAAGAATAGGACAAGGTCACAGCTGGAGATCTAAGCAAAACAGATTTAAGTAACATGCCTGATGGAGAATTTAAAGCAATGATCATAAGGATACTCACTGGTCTTGAGAAAGGAGTGGAGGACATCAGTGAGACTGAGAATAAACTTAGAGAATTCATGACTCCATCAAACATAATTAAGATTCATATAGGAGTCCCAGAAGAAGAAGGGACAGAAAAAAGGGCAGAGAACTTATTTAAAGAAATAATAGCTGAAAACTTCCCTAACTTGGGGAAGGAAACACATATCCAGATCCAGGAGGCACAGGATCCCCCAAAAAAGTCAGTAAAAGCAGACCTATACCAAGGCTCTGTAACCCACACCAAAATATCTTGTAATTAAAATGGTAAAATATAATGATAAAAAATATTCAAGGCAGCAAGACAAAAGAACATAATTACATACAAAGAAACCCTATGATGCCAGCAGCAGATTTTTCAGCAGAAACTGTCTATGCCAGAAACTTACCAGGCCAGAAAAGAATGGTATAATATATTCAAAGTACCAAGTGGGTAATATTTGCAACTAAGAATACTCTATCCAACAAGGCTATCATACAGAATAGAAGGAGAGATAAAGAGTTTCTCAGACAAACAAAAACTAAAGAAGTCCATGACCACTAAACCAGCCCTGTGAGAGATATAAACGGGACTTTTTGATGGAAAGGAATGACAAAACAAAAAACAAACAACAACAACAACAGCAAAACAGTATGAAGGTAGGACACACAAAAGCAGTAAAAAGAATATTTCTTTTAAAAGTTGGTCAAGAAACTCACAAATAAAAGGTTGTAAAATAGGATACCATATATCCAAAATGTAGGGAGGACAGAAGAATGAATGGGTTCAAACTTAAATGACCATCAACTTAATATAGACTGCTATATACAAACCTAATGGTAACCACAAATCGAAAAACATTAATAAACAGGCAAAGAATAAAGAGAAAGAAATCCAAATATATCACTAAAGAAAACAAGCAAACCATGAAAGAAAGACAAAGAATCAGAGAAAATCTCCAGAAACAACCACAAAGCAAGTAATAAAATGGCAATAAATATGTATCAATAATTACTTTGAATGTAAATGGACTAAATCAAAAGATAATCAAAAGATATAGTATGACAGAACGGATAAAAAAAACAACAACCCATCTGTATGCTGCCTAGAAGAAACTCATTTTTGACCTAAAGACATTTGCAGGTTGAAAGTGAGGGGGTAGAGAAACATTTATCCTGCAAATGGATGTCAAATAAAGCTGGAGTAGCAATACTTATATCAGAAAAAACAGACTTAAAACAAAGATCGTAACAAGAGACAAAGAAAGACACTACTTAATAATAAAAAGGACAATCAAACAAGAAAATATAACAATGTAAATATTTATGCATGCAACACAGGAGAACCCAAATACATAAAACAATTAACAAACAAAAGGACCCAATTGATAACAATACAATAATAGCAGGGGGACTTTAACACCCCACTTATATCAATGGATAATCTAAACATAAAATGAACAAGGAAACAATGGATTTAGATGATACAGTGGACCAGATGGATTTAGCAGTTATACACAGAACATTTCACCCTAAAACAATATAATATACATTCTTTTCAAGTACACATGGAACATTCTCCAGAACAGATCACATATGAGGCCACAAAACAAGTCTCAAAAAATTTAAAAAGATTGAAGTCATACCATAAATCTTTTCTGACTACAATATTTTGAAACTAGAAGTCAACCACAAGAAAATCTGGAAAGGGGGATCCCTGGGTGGCGCAGCGGTTTAGCGCCTGCCTTTTGCCCAGGGCGCGATCCTGGAGACCCGGGATCGAATCCCACGTCGGGCTCCTGGTGCATGGAGCCTGCTTCTCCCTCTGCCTCTCTCTCTCTCTCTCTCTCTCTCTCTCTCTCTCTCTCTGTGACTCTCGTAAATAAATAAAAATTAAAAAAAAAAAAAAGAAAATCTGGAAAGACCACAAATATATGAAGGTTAAATAACATGTTAACTAAACAATGAATGGGTCAACCAGGAAATAAAAGAAGAAATTTAAAAATACATGGAAACAAATGAAAATGAAAATATAATGTTTTAAAGCCTTTGGGATATAGCAAAAGTGGTTCTAAGAGGGTAGTGTATAGTAATATAGGCCTATAAGAAAAATCTCAAACACCTAGCTTTACACCTAAAGAATAAACAAAACCTAAAATCAGCAGAAGGAAGGAAATAATAGAGATCAGAGCAGAAAGAAATGATATAGAAAATAAAAAAACAGATCAATGAAACCAGGAGATGGTTCTTTGAAAAAAAATCAATAAAATTGATAAATCTCTAGCCAGATTTATCAAGAAGAAAAGAGAAAGGATCCAAATAAATAAAATCACAAATGAGAATGTAGAAATAACCAATACTACAAAAATACAAGCAATTATAAAAGAATATTATGAAAAACTATATGCCCACAAATTGGACAACCTAGAAGAAATGGATAAATTCCTAGAAACATAAAACCTACCAAAACTGAAACAGGAAGAAATGGGAAATTTGAACAGACTAATAATCAGCAAAAAACTGAATCAGCAATCAAAAAACTCCTAACAAACTAAAGTCCAGGACCAGATGGCTTCATGGGAAAAATCTACCAAACATTTAAAGAAGAGTTAATACCAATTTTTCTCAAACTATTCAAAAAAAAAAAAGAAAAAGAAGGACAATTTCCAAATTCATTCTATGAGGCCAGTATTCCCTTGATACAAAACCAGATAAAGCCACCACACACAAAAAAGAATGACAGGACGATATCCCTGATGAACACAGATACAAAAATTCTCAACAAAATACTAGCAAATTGAATACAATAAATACATTTAAAAAATGAATCACCACGATCAAGTGGGATCTATTCCTGGGTTGCAAGGATGGTTCAATATTCACAAATCAACCAACATGATATATCACATCAATAAGAGAAAGGATACGAACCATATGATCATTTCTTTTCTTTCTTTCTTTTTTTTTTTTTTAGAGAAAGAGAGAGAGCAAGAGCATGAGCATGTGAGTGAGTTAGAGGAGGAGGCGCATAAGGAGAATGAGCAAGAGAATCTCAAGCAGCCTCCATGCCCAGGGTGGAGGCTGATGTAGAGCTCAATCTCATGACCCTGAGACCATGACCTGAGCTAAAATCAAGAGTCAGACACACTTAACTGACTGAGCCACCCAGGTGCCCCATTATCATTTCAATAGATGTAGAAAAAGCTTTATCAAGAAAAAAGGATTTTCTGGATAAAAATCCTCAACAAAGTAGCTTTAGAGGGAACATACCTCAATATAATAAAGGCCATGGCTAACATCATCCTCAATAGAGGAAAACTTAGGAAAACAAGACAAGGATGAATAGTCTTACCACTTTTATTCAACATAATACTAGAAGTCCTAGCTACAGCAGTCAGACAACAAAAAGAAAAAGGCATCCAAATTGGTAAAGAAGAAGCAAAAGTTCCACTATTTGCAGATGACATGATAAT